ATAAAGCGTACTAGTATTGGTATGCATGTTGTTTTAAGTTGTCTTTTAACCATCCCAATGAGCCTGTACAGTGCCTTGCAAAATATTCACCCACACCCTGCAAAGTTCCACATTTTGTTGCTGTCCGAGTATGCAGTCATTGAACTTTCAAACGGGACTCTGTCTGTGTGTAATCAAAGTGCTTTAACTTGACTTCAGAGTAAATGCATCTGTTCAAGCCACAACTCATAGTGATACGAAAAACCAACCATGAAGACCATGGAGCTTTTCAAAGAAGTCAGGGATAAACCACGGATCAGAAGAAGGTTACAAGTCGCTGATTATCCCTTCGAGTACGGTGACGTCCATCATTAAAAAATGGATTGTGTTTCATACCACCCGGTCGCTACCCAGATCAGACCGCCCCTCCAAACTAAACAAACAGGAAACTGGTTAGGGATGTCACTGTGAAGGCAACAATGACTTTGAAAGATCTGCAAAGTTCCATGTCAGAGATAGGAGTTAGTGTGAAAAATAATCAGCTTAAATGGAATTTGGAACAAAACATGTAAATGATACTGCAGGCATGTGGCAGAAGGTTTTGTGGTCAAACGAGACAAAAATTGAGTTTTTGGTGTAAACCCACCACAACACATCACCCAGTCAACACCATCCCAACTGTCAAGTATGGTAGTGGCAGCATCATGTTATGGGAATACATCTCATCAGCATGAACTGGGAAGCTTGGCAGGATTAAGGGGAAGATAGATGGTGCAAAATACAAAGAAATCCTAAATAAAATCCTACTTGAGCCAACCAAAAATCTAAAATTCTTGAAATTCACATTTCAGCAGGACATTGACCCGAAGCACAAGGCTAAAACCACACTGTGGTGGTTTCATAAGAAGAAAGTGAATGTCCTGGGGTGACATTTGCTTACAAATGGTTCTTGTTTTCGCGAATGGTGTACGTAATAACATTTTCTATGTTACTATAACATCTAAGTCGTCAAGATCAGACACTAGTTTATTACTTTTTTTTTGGTAAATGGTAATAGCTTCGAAAACACGGACTGTTCCACCGTGTAACTTCTGTCCAAGGTCCTTAAAACCAGGAGTTGAAGGTTCTAAGGGGGTGTAGCTATAGAGGCTATAATTTGAGGTAAAAGTCTCGATGGGAACTTTTATTGTAATGGATATTAAATTTATGCCAGACAATAAATAAAATCAATGTTTAATACAGAATAACGCGATCAAATGATTGACGACATGCTGTTAGACAAGCGACGGCAACAATTTTTTTATCAAGCTATGTATAAACAGTCCAGAGAAAACTGTAATATAGAGTACTTATTATAACATTTCACATTACTAAATTCAATTTTTTTTTACTGCAAAAACTCAGTTTCTGACCAATTCGTTAGTAAAAAATAAATTGCGTTTGAATTATTAGGATGGTATACGCAGCATTATCAACGGACGTCTTTCGATTCTTCAGAGAAATCAGTCATGTTGCTGCCATGCGGCGAGGAATCTTGCTGCAATTTTTCATCAGACTGTAGACGTGGGGAAACGTCATCTTCCCGACGCCATCTAAGACAGGTTGTCGTTGATCAAAATAAATCGTTTAATTTCTTTTTTTCCCAGATGTTATTTTAGTGATGCATATTTTTTTACCTTTTTGTTTTCAGAAAAAACAATGTGAATTTTGCACATTTTTATTAAGCAAATGACATCAAGAAAATACATATATGATTCGATACCCCACCATGATCAAGTGATCTTCTACCTTTAGCTTGAACGTCCACTTCCCATCGGATAAAATGCCTTCATTTTGATCCTCTTATTATGTAACTATGGTCGGACAATATATGGACAAATTGAATAGACACTTCCAGCCTGATGAGAAAGTGCTTCCTTGAATATCTAATTACCTAAGTATGATTTGATCATATACAGGTAATTGAAACAAACATTTCTAACCTCATAAAACAATACCACTCTCAATACTTGATTATGTAAACATGATTTGATCGTATCCCGACAACACTTTCAACCTGGTAAGGCAATGTCACCCTCAAAACTTGATTATGTAAACATGATTTGATCGTATCTCGACAACACTTTCAACCTGGTAAGACAATGCCACTCTCAACACCTGATTATGTAAACATGATTTGATCGTATCTCGACAACACTTTCCACCTGATAAGACAATGCCACCCACAACACATGATTATGTAAACATGATTTGATCGTATCTCGACAACACTTTCAACCTGGTAAGACAATGCCACCCACAACACATGATTATGTAAACGTGATTTGATCGTATCCCGACAACAATTTTAATCTGATAAAACAATGCCACTCTCAACACTTGATTATGTAAACATGATTTGATCGTATCTCGACAACACTTTCAACCTGGTAAGACAATGCGACCCTCAACACTTGATTATGTAAACATGATTTGATCGTATCCCGACAACAATTTTAACCTGATAAAACAATGCCACCCTCAACACTTGATTATGTAAACATGATTTGATCGTATCCCGACAACACTTTCCACCTGGTAAGACAATGCCACCCTCAACACTTGATTGTGTAAACATGATTTGATCGTATCTCGACAACACTTTCCACCTGGTAAGACAATGCCACTCTCAACACTTGATTATGTAAACATGATTTGATCGTATCCCGACAACACTTTCCACCTGGTAAGACAATGCCACCCTCAACACTTGATTGTGTAAACATGATTTGATCGTATCTCGACAACACTTTCCACCTGGTAAGACAATGCCACCCTCAACACTTGATTGTGTAAACATGATTTGATCGTATCTCGACAACACTTTCCACCTGATAAAACAATGCCACCCTCAA